CCCCCCCCCCCCCCCAAAAAAAAAAAAAAAAAAAAAAAAAAAAACTGGGTCGAGTCACCTTAAAAGCCCAAAGTTAACAACAGGGCATAGAAAAAAAACAATGAAACCCGTTCATGCGACTACTCGAAGGCCAAACTGGCAGCATTAGTGAGATTTTGAGGGGCTTTCCTGTTTGGGGGGAAACAATGTGGTGGTAGTTTGTCACCGCGGGCTAGTAGAGCATATGCTGTCGTCGCCGTCGTTTAAGCTACCTTAATTAAACAACAACTGACATTACAACAATGAATGAAATGTGCTTAAAAAGTCAAAACATTTAGACGTTTATAAAAGATACATAATGTAAAACATAGGGACAATGCAAGTAAGCAAAGCTGTGGCAGGGTTTCTGCGGAAATTTCAGACATCAGTGGGTGAGCATGGCACCATTTCTTGGACTATACCCCTGCCTCAGCTTATTTCGCACCTTGAGGAGTTAACGTTTGGCCTTGTGATAGTGACGCCATATGACTCTCCATGATTTCAATCTGCTTTCTATACATTAGCATCCTTTCTTCAAATGTCTCCACCAGACGTTGAAAATACTCCTGTGGTGCCATATTTTCGTGCTGTAGCGCTGGAGGAATGTCGTTCGTTCTCTGAGCAATTTCAGAATTCTTCAGCTCCTAAAATACAAATGGTGAGATGAGATGACCGTGTTTAAATTAAGTCATTCATTCATTCATTTTGCAAAGCAAAAAAGAAAAAGAAGGAAACTCAGGTAAGCGGACAGCTCTACTTCTAACCTGAGATCAGGCTCTATTTTCGTTTCGCTTTGAAAATTACATTCCGGCGGGCAAGGCGGTAGGTAGCAGTAGCCGTTAGAGAGAATGTATGAGAATCGCTCAAATTGGGCCTGATCTCAGGTTACTCTACTTCCGGCAGTCGTTTAACTCACCATAAGCGGTAATTCCTACGCAACGAAGGGGTTCGATTTAGTCTTTTTCTTGGTTTCTTAACTGTTTGGGGAGGGGCTTAATAGCGACAGGGGGCTTATTTAAGAGGAGGGGTCTATATCACCTCGTTCCCAGGTTCTCTCTCCTACCCGTCTCTCTCGCTCCGTAGGGACGGGTAGGAAAGAACCCTGGTAACGAGGTTGAGGCTCATAGACTATTATTAGATTTAGCGAAGATGATGGTATCAGTTCTCCATAAAGAACTAAAATGCGAACTGGAAAAGCTCAAGTACAAGAAGTTGTAGGTCATGCAGCCAAGACAAAAAACAAATCCAAGACGTGAATAAACCATCCCGAATCAGTCTAGATGAAGTGTTACAATCGTGACTGATTGATAGAGTCTATCATTTATTAGTAAAATCCAATTAGTGGTCTATTGTCAATGCTACGTTCTGATTAGTTGAGCTACTACTAGGCTGTATGTTATAGCCCACTAGTAGCGAAAGGTGCCTGCTGTGAAAACCAAAAGAATGGCGGCTGAATCGCGTTTTGCTAGCTAAAGTTGTTTTGTCTCGATATTTTTGACCAACTTGTTGGATTTTACTAAAACAATTATTCCTCTTGCCCTCATGGCCCCCATTTAGCTGTACTCTTCTTAGACAAAGAAATATCAAACTAGCACTTTTGTCTACCTTGGCGACCCTTCCTACATATTTTTTATCACATGTTAGTGTTTAAGCTTAAGACATTTAGTACTGCACCTGTGATACATCCATTTTGAGGTTCTCAACAGCACATCCATCTCTCTGGATACTGTTAGATACCAGAGCTAAAGCCTGCAAAAAATATCCATAAACATGTCATAATTGCAAGGAGAGGGGTATTAAAAAATGCTTCTTATAGTGCTAACAGTCTTTAAGCAAAAAAAATTTCCTTTCTGTTAACACCAAAAAATAGGAAAGGGGTGGGGGAACTTCTCAAACGTTAAATGGTCAGCCCCTAAATTAGCAATGCAAATAATGAACAATATAAAGAAAATATAAGTGGAAAGAAAGCTAAGGTTACCAAGTCAAAGGAGTACCTGTCTTAGAGCTAGGGTCTCTTCTCTCACTTTATCCAGTGCACTTCCAGATGCTCTAGAAATCTCATCCTTATGATCTTTCTGTTCCTTGACATATTTCCTTAAAACATACAACCCATATATTAGTTTTGTTTCAAAAAAATCCATCTCTATCTATTACCATTACAGAGATACCAAAGGGTGAGCTTAAACACACAAAACACAAATAACCATATTATATACACAGATTTTGTAGCAAAGCTATCCTTCTAACCAAACCTTCCTCTTATGTGTAGGCTATTGTGACAGCATGCACATTTAAAAGGATAGTAAAAGCAGGGAACACAAACTGTTGGCACAGGACAAAAAGGCAAAGGAAGACTACACTTAAGACAGTTTTACTTGTTCCCAAACTCCAGGAATTCAATTTTTTCACACTGCAAATATTACACCTCATCTTCCTCCCCAAATTTTGCATAACCATTGTTTTTGCTTTCTCTTTGGACAACTGTGATACACAGGAGAATTGGAAAACAATGGTTAACCAATTAATGTTGGGGGAGGAGGTGTTGGGGGAGGGGGGAAGCGAATGTAATATTTTGTTGTTTTGCTTTCAGCAGCACTTTTGTTATGAATGGAAGGCAAAGAGTGATACATTGAGGGATTTTAACAGTTTCATATAGGCAAATATTAATTTGTTTATACCTCGTTGGTACTTAATTTCAAGGGCCTTAAAATTTGCAAAATGACCGGCAAAAATAAATTCTCACGAAATTGAAAAGCATGCAAAATTTAATATCCATTATTTTACCTGTCAAATAACAGTTGACAGGTAATAGCAACGATGTGTATGGACAAACACAAATTACTTTCTGGTTTTACTGGTAAGCTCCATTTTGTATCTTCAATTGTGAAATGACGTTAGTTTGCAAAGATTTCACACATTACTTGTTCCAGTTTATCTAATTTTCTTAAAAGTTCTGTCTTTTTAAAAAAAGAAAGTGAAGTTGAGAACGCTTAAATTGCGAAATTTACAGCCCTTTTAGCATGTTTACTTGTTAAAATTACAAAACTAACAGGGTTCTCAATAGAAGGCGGCACCCGGCGATTGATCGCCGCTTACTTTGGGATTTATAGCTGCTTACTTTGTGTTTAGGTCACTTTTCTTTGCTTTGTTTTGACACCTCTCGCTTTGCTGAAGAGCCTCCTACTTTATCAGTGATCACCTCCTACTTAAAAATCTATTGAGAACCCTGAACTAAGTACCAGCAAAATTTAGTACCAATAAGGTAGTTTTTTTGCTTATTAGCCTATTCATTGCTGCAGTAATAATAACAGCACAACAGAACCAGAGGAGGATAGGTCCTGGGGGGGGGGGGGGGCCCTCCCATTAATGGCCTTTAAGGTGTTTTGCCGGGGGAATGGGTAGGTTTTTAAGGGGGTTTACTCTAGGTAGGGGGATATAAAACAAAACATTTGGGCTTAAAAAAGGTTTCTATTTTTCGGAAACGTACA